TGAAAAACAAAAAGACACGAAAAAAAGACTATTTCCCAAATGATTATCCCTGCTCTTGCCGAAAAAGAGAAGTGATGTCGTGAGAAGCCATTTGAGAGATTATATAATTTGATCTCTCAAAAGTTTTATTTCCATGCATACGAAGAAGAAACCGGCCGACTTAGGTCGAACTTTTCATCACCTTTCACATTGGAAAAATGTTGGAGGACACTATACATGTAGATGGAAGCAGTTGCACAAAGTTTTCAATGACATTTAGATATAATTAACGACGACAGTATGACTTCTACTTCGTATGACTTCTACTTTAGAGTTTGTACCTCTCATTTCGAAGAGAAAAAAGTGAATTGAATACCTCCACGTTTGCAGTGAGTTCCACTGTATCCAGGATGACAATCACAGTGATAGGAGTTCCTTTCATATTCAGGAACACAGACACCACCGTTCTTACAAGGAGCGCTTTCACATTGAGACTAGAAACAAAGTAAACATTCCTTGAACCATTCAGTTTGTATTTAAAGAAATACGAAGAGTGTTAAGCACTAAATATATGAAGAAATCTTACCAACGGACTGCAGTGATGGAAGGTAGCATTTGCACGAACCTTTTCAGCCTCTCTGTACTTGTCTGTGGCCAATAACTCACACAGATAAAGACCTCTGGAGTCAGGATACACTGCTATGTTGAACGAATAGCACTTTGGTTCACCAACACAAAGGAAAGTGCAGTCCAACTTATCTTCCACCATGAATGATGTAAGTTTCTCTGCCCATGAGAAGTAGAAAGGGTCGCACTCGAATTTACCAAACGAAGCACGGCCTGTTGGATATCGATAGAGAGCGCTGTTTTGTGTGGCAAACAACAATCCTAACAAAGAGGGAAAAACCAGCAAGAGTGGTAAAAGCAGCATGACAGTGGCCGATGAACTCTCACCACCGGAATGAGTTGCTGAATGATACTAATGACTTACATTCAAATGAAAAATAGGTCCTTTATAATTGCCTGTCAGTAATTAATAATTAATAGCCACATCTATGAAACAGGTGCCATGGGTGGGATAAACTTCTACTATAGGGGAAGTAGAGGTGGAACAGTAACTTTTAAAAAGTCATTCTAAATTAAACTCTTCTTCTTAGCAAACCTGATACTTTTTCAGCTCTTTTACAAGAATTGCTTTCAAAACGTTTTTTTCCCTATGGAGGAAACGATGTCTATTAATACCTTCTATACAACGGGTTTAAAAAGTTTTAGATATTCATTTCAATATCTATTAACTTTGACTATGCTAATGATTTATTGCATTGCTTTGAACCAATTTTTTGTTAATTTTAAAGGGAATTTTGGTAATCTGCTTCTTACTCTGCAACTAACTTGAAAATAAATTTCTATTACTCCTTCACATGTCCCTGTTAGCAGGTTTGTTGTAAGAAGTTGTGTTTTGGCTCGCACCAGGATAACAATATATGAAATAAATTGACACTGACTATAAATTGGCACAAACTAGAAGAAGCTACAGTTGTTTTCCTCTTTTAGACAGAGCAGCTGTTTATTTAATATTTTATTATTTTACTATGCCTAGACACTTTCCTCTTAGAAGACTTTTTGTGAAAGAGAAAACAATTCTTTCTAATTTTTAATTTTTTTCGAGCAAAATTAATCTTTTTCGAGCAAAATTAAAAACACCAAATATCAAATTAATCTTTCAGTACCTCCCGCAGTTAGTGTTTACCAAATGGATTCTCTGATCATAGGCAGATACTGGGCAGATTTCCTCTTAGTGACTTGAAAGGAGCTTATCTAATTGATAAAAAATAATCATTTTAAATTGGAACAAGTTCAGCAAAAATAAATCGAAGAAATTTATTGAAGTCATGTCTTGAAAATGTTAGGAAATCCTTTACGTGGATCGGAAAACACACGAGCCTCGATTATGTATTTTCTTTGCAAAAAGTGTCAGTCGTTTCTTCTCTGTATATTAGCATTTTCAATTAAACAATATACTGGTTTTAAATACAAACATTGCACAAGTTATATTTGCGAAGGTTGTTTATTGAACATGTTACAGCATTAACACAAAACAACATTTCACTTAAGAGAAATGGTCAGATTACTCGCTTAGGATAACTTTAGGTGCACTTTGAACAAAACCTGTAAAGCAGCGTTAAATTACACCTGTTTTGCATGACTAGAATAAAAACAAATAGTCTTCGACTTGTATCGGCCTGAGATGCAAAAAAATCCGTCTATTTTAGTGCATTATAATAACACAAACAACACGTTGTCGGCAGGAAATACATTAGGGAGAGAACGAACAATGGGGGTTTTGTCAGGGATAGCAATTTAGAACTGATAAGTAACTTATTTTAATCAACGAATTAAGAAAACTGGAACATT